GGACCGAAATATCCCCTTCCAGTGAAAACTTATATTACATCATCCTCTTTTCCATACCGTATTTTTCATTTCTATTTTCATTATATTTATATTAGTAATAAGAGTTACCTGCTTTGAGCCACAGACTTTACACGTGTAACTTAGAGATAATTTAGCGTTCGATGAAGCACTGCCAAACAAAGCACGCTGCACAATACGGCCACTGTAGAGATACCGAATTATTGGACGAGCCAGATGCATAAGACGAACCAAATCCACTGTCCTGAAAAGTGTCACGGGCTGGCCTAAGACGGTTTACTGCGAAAGTGCGAAAAATCAGAGCCGCAAAACGCTGGTTACGAATAAACTGTGATAGAGAGAATGACCGAGCAAAGGATACTTGGAATATCTCTTCGTTATCGTATAAAAGCAATCAGGTTTTCGGTCAAGTGAGGAATGCACAAAATGTGTGAAACACGGTGACACAAAAATCGCATATTGCTTGCCTCGCTGACAACCCAAGTGGCAGCAGCGGTCATGCAGTGACACGAGCGAAATATTGTGAATCGCTTCGAGTCCCAGTAGCTAGAATTTATCGCATATGGCATACCGGAACATTTCTTACCTATTACAAATATTTCCTCAGACCACTTCCCCATCTTACTACCCCTTCCCTCGTTTTCTTTTTTTCTTGATATTTTCTCTTCAGCCTTTAATACAAGCCATAACTGCTAACGCTTTGTCAAGCGCATCTGTTAGGGAGGATTGCTGATCTAGTAGTAATTCTTTCAGGAAGATGAAGCATTTTGAAAATTTGCCTACTGCACAGATGGAGATCCAAACTATGAATTAACAAAATATGTTGAGATACTCTTCAAGCACAGTGCGCTTCTGTACAACTTGCAGAAAAAAACAGAACATAACAAACTTAAGTTTTATCAACAACAACACGCATGACTGGAATGCATTTATGTCAACTGTTAGGTTAAAAAAAAAAAAAATAAAAAAGTTGAGCTTATCCCCAACATTGGTTAGGGCTGAAAAGAAGCTCAAACAACGAAAAATGTTCTAATCAGATAAAGTGGACAGCAAATACTAAAAACTTGGCTCAGCTCGTTGGGGTGGAAGTTGCAATTCCCTTGATAGGCTCTTCGAGTTATAGGCGGATTTGATAAAAGGCTTGACAGCAGTAAGATAGTGGGAGAATGAGAATGACCAGAGATGAGATAATCTTTCACAATCCTTCTGTCTCTAGTTGCTGCCATCACGCAAGAACTCAGCCCCTTTGTAATCAGTGTTTCCAGTCCTCTTCTCTCTTGCGGCCTTTTGTGATCGATCTAAAGAACGCAAAAGGCCGCAACAGGGAGGAGAGGCCTGGAAACATTGATAACAAAGGGGCTGAGATCTTGCGTGATGGCAGCAACTAGATACAGAAGAATTGTGGGCTATACTGGTTTATGACGCTAACAAAGAAATTAGATGCTCAGCGAGAGTCATCTCGCCAAAACAAAAAACCAGGTACTTGCACTCAATTAATTTTTATAAGCCACATCCAAACCTACCAACGCCTTGTTTTGTGCGACTGACCGAATCGCGAGTTTCAGTAACTGCCATGAAA